GATTTTACTGAGATCTTTCTGTTTCTGATTCCTAATTTAATCCCATTGTGGTCAGAGAACATATTTAGTACAACTTGAATACTTTAAAATTTTCTTAGACTTGTCTACTAAATATTCCATATGCATTTGAAAAGAATGGGTATTCTGCCGCTGTTAGATCAAATGTTCTATAATGTCAGTTAGGTCAAGATATTGATAATATTGTTCAAAGCTTATGTATCCTTGCTTATTTTCTACAGTAATTATCAATTATTTATAAAAAATAATATTAATTATTGAGAAAGGCTATATTAGTTTGCTAGGACTGCCATAATGAAATAACACAGACTAGGTGTCTTAAACAACAGAAGTTTATTTTTTTATAGTTCAGGAAGTTGGAAGTCCAAGATCAAGGTATTGACAAGTTTGGATTTTCCTAAGGTCTCCCTCTTGCCTTAGTTTGCGTGGCCACCTTCTCACCGTGTCCTCACATGGACTTTCCTCTGTGTGCCAAGCTTCCCTAGTGTCTCCGTTTCTTCATAGAAGGACACCAGCCCTATTGGATTAGGTCCCTACCCTCATGGCCTCCTTTTACCTTGATTACCTCTTTAAAGGCCCTAACTTCAAACATAGTTACATTGGAGGTTAAAGCTTCAATATATGAATTTTGTGGGGACACAATTCAGTGTGGGGTAATGAAATGTCTGACTATCTGTGTTTGCTTATTTCTCATTGCAATTCTGTCAGTTCTTGTTTCGTATATTTTGAGAATTTTGTTATTAAATATGTAACTTTGTCATATTCTCTTTATTTTTACCCTTTTATCATTATATAGTGCTTTTCTGTATCTTGGGGCTTCCCTGGTGGCTCAGATGGATATCATTGGGAATATTCTTTAATCTGGAATCTACTTTGTTATTAATATAGTCATTTCAGCTTTTCTTTGATTGACACTAGCATTTTATATTTTTCTATTCTTTTTTAAAAAAATATAATTTGACAATCCCTGCCTTTTAATTTGGAGAAGGCAGTGGCAACCCACTCCAGTACTCTTGCCTGGAAAATCCCATGGACGGAGGAGCCTGGTGGACTGCAGTCCATGGGGTCACTAAGAGTCGGACACGACAGAGCAACTTCACTTTCACTTTTCACTTTCATGCATTGGAGAAGGAAATGGCAACCCACTCCAGTGTTCTTGCCTGGAGAATCCCAGGGACGACGGAGCTTGGTGGGCTGCCGTCTATGGGGTTGCACAGAGTTGGACACAACTGAAGTGACTTAGCAGCAGCAGCAGCCTTTTAATTAAGATGTTGAAACTATTTACATTAATGTGATTCCTAATATATTGAGGTTTAAATCTATCATCTTGCTGCTTGTTTTCCATTTCTCTTACGTGTTCTTTATTACTGCTTTTTCTCTTTTTTTGCCATTTTAACAGTAATTGAACTTTTAAAATAGTTTTGTTCTATCTTCTTTGTTGTATTTATTACCTACAACTCATTATTTTAGTTGTTGCTTTAGGTTTATGTTATACCTTTTTAGCTTGTCACAGTCTGCCTTCAAGTGATAGTGTACTATTTCATGTATATTATGAGAGCCTTACAGTAATATACTACCATTTCTCCTTTCCTGAGCTTTGAGCTGTTTTATCATAAATTTTACTTCTACTTATGTTAAACCTCACATTGTATCATTATCAGTTTTTATTTAAATAGTTAATTATCTTCTAATGAGTTTTAAGTAAGAAGTAAAAGACCTTACATATTTGTTCATGTAATTAACCATTTCTAGTGGTCTTCATTCTTTTGTGTAAAGCTATATTTCCATCTAATATTATTTTCCTTTTGCGCAGACTATCTTTAACATGTCTTGTAGTGTGTGTCAGTTAGTGATAAATTATTTCTTCTTTTGTATATTCTAGGAAGTTTTCAATTCACTGTCATTTTTGAAGTGTATTTTTGCTGGATTGGTCAGTTTTTTCTTAGTACTGTATATGGCGACCCTGTGTTTTCACTTGCTTTTTTTTGAATGAGAAATCTGCTGTTATTTTAATGCTTACTCCCCTGAGTGTCATTTGTGCTCCCCTGCCTCCCTGGCTGCCTTTAAGATCTCTTTTTTTTAGTTGAAGTGTAGTTGATTTAGAGTGTTGTGTTAGTTTCAGGCGTACAGCAGTGATTCATTTATATATATATATGCATTTTTTTCTAGGTTTATTTTCCATTATAGGTTATTATAAGATATTGAATATACTTAACTGTGCTGTACAGTCAATCCTTGTTGCTTATCTGTTTTGTGTGTAATAGTTTGTTAATCCCTACTCCTAGTTTATCCCTCTCTTCCCTCCATACTTCTTTGGTAACCAAAGGTTTGTTTTCTATATTTGTGAGTCTGTTTCAGTTTTGTATATAGATTCATTTAAGATTGTTTCTTTTTAACTCAGTTTGAGCAATTTGGTTTTCATGTGCCCTATGTCATTTCTGTCACATTTTTTTGTGTTTGAGATTTTTTTGAGTTTCTTGGATCTGTGGGTTTATAGTTTTCCTCATGTTTTGGAAAAGTTTCAGCTGTTATTTCTTCAAATATCCCTCCACGCACCCATTTTCTTTCAGGGGCTTATGAGCTGCTTAAAGCTGTCCCACAGTTCACCAATACTCTTTTTGTTTATCTGTCTATTTATTTACATAGGTTGTCTTTTCTTTCTGTGCTTTATTTTTGTAAGTTTCCATGGTGATGTCTTCAAATTCACTCATCTGTTCTACTGCAGTGTCTAATCTGTCAATAATTTTATCCAGCGTTTTAATATTTTTCATCTCAAATATTTACATTTGCTTCTGTAAATGTTTTGGATCTTTTCTTACCTACCTTTTTGAACAAATGAATATAGTTATAATACTCTGTTAATATTTTGTGTGCTTATTCTTGTCAGTTCAGGGTCACTTTCAGTTGACTGATTATTCTCATTATGGGTTATGTTTTTCTGTTGCTTTGCATGCCTGATAATAAAAAAAAAAATTGTTTATTTGTTTTTATTCAGCTGCACCAGGTCCTAGCTGTGGCGTGTGGGATCCTTAGTTGTGGTGTTGGGATCCTTGCAGCATGTGGGATCTGGTTCTCTGACTAGGGGTCCAACCTGGGCTCCAACTAGGAGCCTGGAGTCATAGCTGCTGAGCCACTAGGGAAGTCCCATGCCTGATAATTTTTGATTGGGTACCAGGCATGGTGAATTTTACCTTACTGGGTGTGGGTATTTTTTTATTTCTACAGATATTCTTGAACTTTGTTCTGGAATGCAGTTAACTTACTTGGAGAGACAAGGCGCAGTGCTCAGTTTATAATTAATCATTCCTCACTTTTGAGGAAAGATCCTCCTGTTTTCTGTGCAATATTCCCTGAATCTTGGGTTTTGCTTGTCTGGCTGTGGGAAGAAGGACTATTTTTGGCTCTGTGTGAGCACTGTTTCCTCAAATGGTGGTTCTTTTCCAGCCTTGGGTATCTTCCTCAAACAGGTGTGCACACACACGTGCTCTTCAGTACTGTGCTGAATGCTTCCGAGGGCCCTTCTGAAGATCTTAAGAGTTCTTTGCAGCTCTCTCTTCTCCAGTGCTCTGCTTAGCGAACTCTTGCTTGCTGGCTGATTCAGCTTGAATTCTTAACTCCTTTCCTTCAACCCCTGTGGTTTACTGGTTCCCCCTTCCCTCTCTGCATCCTGAAAACTTTCTCCATGTAGGAATTTAGAGACAGTCGTAGAGCTCACCTCATTTTTTCCTGCCTCTGAGGAACTAGATAGGTTCATTTGCCTTTTCATGAACATCCTATAAAGAGAACCAGTCACTGTGTGCTCATGTCTCACTTCTTTCATTCAGCCTAATAATGCTTTTGGTGTTCACCCATGATGTTGCATGTATTAGTAGCTCACTCTTGTGTATACATAAGCAAATATTTGGGTATATGATAGATATATCCATTTTATGAATATACCATGGTTTGTTTGTCCAGGTTCCTTGTGATAGGCATCTGGGTTACTTCCTGTTAGGGGCACTTTTTAAAAAGGTAGCTCTGATCATTCTCACACATGTCTTTGTGGATGTATTTTTTAAGTGTCTGTAGTCGTTAAGTGTCTGAGTTTTGAGTGTCTGTAGTTTTAAGTGTCTGAGTCGTAAGATTGGTGTAGATTTAAAAATACGTGTAAGAAATTGTCAAGCTGCTTTCCAAAGTAGCTGTACCATTTGTCTCCTTTCTCGGTAGCACTTCATCTTCTCAATGAATTTTAGCTATTCTGGTATGAGTAATGGCTTCTGTGAGTTCATGTGGATATCAGTTATGTTAGAATGCTCTGTCACATATCAGAAAATGGGAATATGACTGGTGTTTAGTTTCAAAGGCAAATTGAATTTTTATAAGATCCTCAGCTGTAGCTGTGAGCCTTGCTTGACACTACAAACTTGGATTTGGTGGCTAAGTGGTCCATCTCCTTGCAGTGCCTGTGTGTGTAATGGATTCGATGCTGTACCGGGTTTAAGGAGGAACCGCCTGTCCTGTCACCCTGGTCTGATGACAGCGTCTCCTCCAGTATGTGAGTTCAGAGAGGCCAAGGGGCCAGGAAGGCCAGTGAGTTAGTGTCTTCTGCTATAATCATGCTGTTTGCTGATTGTTTCTTCCCGAGAAAAAAAGCATTAAGACTCTAGGCACGCACGTGGATTCTTTTGTCGCAGAAGTGGTGGCTGTAAGCCTGCAGTCTGGAGGCTGATACACTATCACACAAGCCCTTCACCCGGGGGATTATGAGCTGGGCGCGTGTGAGCCATCACCAGGGCTCTGGCACTGAGCGTGCAGACCGGGTATCCTAGGCTCCCGGGATCCCAGCCTTGGCAAGGTGCTGTCTTGTTTTGCTGTTTGCCTGGTCAAGTTCCTGTTTCAGCTCTTCACCAACTCGGCTAGATTTATTATCTCTTGAAAGGGAAAAGGAAGAGCAAACGGACTATCAATGGAAGTGCTGACACTTTCTCCCTTTATTTTTTCAGCCAGAAGAAGTAACTGCGAGTCTGCACAGTTTTAAGAACAAGGCCTTTAAAAAAGCCAGAGTCTGTGGGGTTTGCAAACAGATTATTGAAGGTCGAGGGATTTCATGCCGAGGTGAGTCCGCGTTGATCCTTCTCATGCCGGTTAAACTGAAGCAAAGCAAACAGACAAAAACCCAAAATGAAACCTTCTTTCGGGAGTTTCCAAAGTTAAATCATGGAATTCCCCATCTTAACCTGAGTTTCCCCTCACCCTCGCTGGACTGGGATGGAATGTATTTACACAGATAGATGCTCATGAGAAATTTTTCCAGAAAGAGCAACGTTAGTCTTGTGGGAGGGGGCCAGCCATGAGTGGCTCATGACTTATTTTCCTTCTGTCTTCTAGTGTCAGTAGCTTGAGTCATCCCCTTTTGTTTTCTGGTCTCTTACCAGAGTTTACAAATGAAAATTTTCTGTTCTTTTGAGTGACGGTTCATTGTGGTACTGTCTTTTTAGCCTGTTGTCAGGCGTTGCGCCACTCTGTAAACAGTGCCACCAGCTTCAGTATTTGGTGTTTAAACCCCTGGTAATCAATGCAACTTGCTATTTTTTGTTTTCATGATAGTAAATCTGTATAACAGACTTGTGAGGAGGACTTTTCTTGTTTCCCTTGAACCCTGGAATTGTGGTTCTGTGTCACAGAGCGGAGGCAGGTGGGGTTACCTGGGAGAAGGCTCTGGGCTGCTCTGGGCTTGTTATCACTGATGGGTTTGGGATTTTCTCCGTAGAATAGTTCCAGGGTTTCCTCTAGGCTCCCCATCCTCGCGGTGGACTCCCTGGCACATGGTCCCTGAGGGCTGCTTTGGGGTTAGGCGGCCTCAAGGAAAGATGCATGATGGCCACACTGTCGTGGAACCTTAGAGGGGGCGGGAGGCAGGTGTGTCCCCTCCTCAGAAGGGCCTGGCCACTGTCAGTGCTGACCATGCTGGTGCCTTGGAGCCAGCTCCCGCCTCTCCTTCCCCTCTCTGCGGCCTCCTGGAGGTGCCAGAAGTCCCCTCCCTGCCTCACCCCACACGGGTCTCTGTTTCAGAGCTGACGCACCTGCTTCTCAGAGTGCATGGCGCTCTCACCTTATCCTTGGATGCAGCCTGTCTCACAGGGCCTGATGGTTCCTCTCCACCTAGAAAGGGTGAGCCAGGCCCTGGGGGCTGAGAAGTCACCTGTGGGGTGCACGTGGAACATGGATCCAGCACCAGGCCTCTTGGCACAGGCCCTCTCCCCACATCAGCAAGCCTGCATGGGTGTGCACATACACACGCACTCACATTCATGCATGCACACACGTATGCTCACAGGAGCATACACACACACATGGAAATGCAGAGAAGGGTGTGGCCAAGACAGGGCTGGGCCAGGAGTGCAGGCTGGTGCTCTGAGTCTGTTAGGATCAAAGTCTCTCTGAGTCCCTGATGTGGGTTGCAACATTGTTCTCTGGATGGCTGGTGCAAGGCCTCACTGGGATGGGTGTGAGGTGCTGAGCTCACTTTCTGGCACTTCGCTTTGCAACTGTGATAATGATTTTTCTCAATGACCCCACCTGGATGTGCCAGGGCGATTCCCACGTGGGTAACACGGGGGACCTTGGCTGGCTGCTGTCCACACGGGCAGGTCATGAGCACAGACCAAGGTGCTTTAGCTCTGTAGGCCCAACGGCTCTGTTTCCCACATACAGTTAATGATGGCCTGGTGGCGACAAACAGATTGGCTCTTTGGAGAGTCAGTTTCCTTCTCATCTCTGTACAGCTGAGGCCCGAGTTGACTAAGGAGCTATCCCAAACATCCTTTTAAAACTCTCAGTACTTCTGCCTTAATCACCTACAAGATACAGTTATTCTCTTCAAAGTAAATGGAAGCAATGAGATACGGCCAGATTGGAGAGAGTGGAGCCCAGCAGCCAGGCTTTCCATCAGGCCAGAGCTCCTCAAGGATGCTGGCAGCCCCCAGTACCATCCAGGGCTTGGCACGAGAGCACACATTCCAGGCTCACGCTTCCTTCCTTGTCCTGCAGCTTCCCAGGCTTGTAGGGGCCAGGAAGGGGCCCAGAATATGCTTTGATTCTTAACGATCTGTCTTACAGCGTTTATAGTTGTGATGTGTGGGATGTCAAGGAGGACTAAGAGGCCTGGCAGAGTGGTGTGGATGGGTTGTGGTTGTGTGTGCAGGTGGTTGTGTGTGCACGTGGTTGTGTGTGCAGGTGATTCTGTGTGCAGTTGGTTGTGTGTGCACGTGGTTGTGTGTGCAGGTGGTTGTGCACCCTCTGGAATTCTATGGGGGAGGCAGTGAGATCTCAGGATCCCACTGGGTGCTGCAATGCCCAAGGCCAACTCGGCCCCAAGGACCCTGTGTGATACAGAAGGTTGGGAGGGCAGAAGGGTGGCAACAGGCTGGCCTTGTGCAGTGCTCACTTGTGAGCTTATGCTTCTCTGGTCTAAGGACCACTGTGGTTCTGTTTTATCTCACGGTCTAGCCCCATGGAAATCACTTTTTGGACCCACCTAGTTCTTTTTTCCTTGAGAAAATCCTTCACTGGAGACTGTCCCATAGGTGCCCTCTGCCTCAGGGGGTTCATCTCCATGTGCCGTTTCCCCACAGGAACACTGCTACTGTGTTCTCGTGTGGGGAGCCCAGGGCTCACATGCTGTCGCCCCACCACTTGGGCTGAGATGCTCTGCCTGGTTTGGAGGCAGTAAGGAGGGATCTGGGGCCGGGCACCGGTCCTGGGGCTGCTCTGCGCTCCTGTTCCCCTTCCGTGTGCACACCCCAGCAGACACGCCACAGTCCCCCTTCTCACCTGGCCTCCTTGTTTCGTCTAAGGCCGCACTCCTCTGTTCTGAGCCCTCCAGCTGAGGCGAAGTGTATGGACTCTCCCCGAGAGGCCCCGGATCCATCCCTCATGGCCGGGTGGTGAGGCACGTGGCCAGGAGCAGTGGGCTGGCAGAGGCCACCTTGGGGACATGTACAGCTCAGGGAAGCCACATCCTTGGCCAGAGGAATCAGCTGCCTGGCTGTGGGCACTGGAGGCTGTGCTATTGGGAAAAGTAAACAGGAGCAGGTCCCCTGAAGGCCAAGGCCCAGGTCCTGGCAGAGAGAGGCCCACTGACATCAGGGATGCCTGCACGCCTGGGGCCCCACGTGGGTGGCAGGACAGGCAATGGGTGGCATGGAAGGAGGCCACGGTGACAGGAGCCCATGGAGGCATCATGCTCTATTTCTGGGTCCAGCATGGGGTATGCTCATAATGTGGTGAATGTCAGCCCTCAGGCGTTGAGAGGCTGGGGACTCACCTGTAGCATTGTTCATGAGATATCTGCTGACTTCTCTGCAGAAAAAGGTGTTTTAGAACTCCCTCATATGGTGGGGACAGGCTTCCCTGGTGGTGCTAGTGGTAAAGAACCTGCCTGCCAAAGCAGGAGACATAAGAGACACATATTCAATCCCTGGGTCAGGAGTGTCCTCTAGAGGAGGGCATGGCAGTCCACTCCAGTATTCTTTCCTGGAGAATCCCACAGACAGAGAAGCCTGGCGGGGCTACAGTCCATAGTGTCATAAAGAATCAGGTACCACTGAAGCAACTTGGCACTGGCATATGGTGGAATGTAAACACCTGTGAGAATACGCAATAGGTTATCATATTTATGTACCTAGCTGTAATAATTGTGTTGATAAACAGTAGCTACTCTTTTTTGAAAAGGAAAGGACTCTATGTGCCAGGAGTCTTTTAGACATTATCTTCTTAAATTAAATTGATGTGTGTGGGAGATCCAAGGATTGTGATTGTGACAGTCTGCTTCTCAAAAATGCCATCATCAGAGACATAGCCCCTGACACTGTCAAGGGATAAAAGGCCTATGGCAGTGACCATAGGGATAGAAGTGTGAGAGCTGGGTGTTTATATGTGTTGTTGATGTGTGGCCATCTTCTTCTTAGCTTTTTGTCCGCATCCGAAGGCTGGGCTTTTCCCTCTTCCGCACTGCATCCCTCTGGACGGGCAGGGGCAAGATGTGGGGGTGCTGCTGGGTGAGGAGCCTGGCACAGTCACTGGGAGTGTAGGCGGCGCCTGGCAGGGTCAGTGGTTGGCTCCTGCAGAAGAAGCTGTGGCCCAGGACAGGCCCCTTTCCTGGCCTTCTATTTGTAACCTTTAAAATTTGCCTGTTCTGTTGTCAATCTCTAGGATCTCTTCCTTTTGTCAGTAAGCTATATAGATATCATACAAAACTCAATTTAGTAGTTTTCCCTCCTAATAATTTAGATGAATGTTGTATACATTTGCACATTGAGCCAGTGTGTATGTGCTGTCTGTAGACATTGCATGTCTTTTCTCAGTGATCATGCAGAAGTTGTGTGAGGTCTTACTGGAGGGGCCCTTCCTTTGACTTGTTTCTGGAGCAGTAGGGAAGCATGGACCCTGGAGACAGGTTGCTCGGATTCCTGCCCTGCCTCTCTGTGGTTGAGTTTTGTTTTAGAGTCACTGTGAGGAACAGATTAAATGCACGAGAAACACAGAGAACCCTGATTGGCTTAAGGAGGTGTCTGGTAGTGTTCGGTGTTATTCCTGTTGGTTATGGTGTCACATTGCTGAAGGTGGTGATGATGGAGAAGGGTTAGGTGTGTATCCTGTGACTTTGGCTAATATTTTTACTATTCTTTTTCTAGGCTTGTTCTTGACCTGCAAGTCACTTATTTTCACATTTTAGCCTATTTGCCACAGATTATTTTTATGTGGCTAACTTAGAAGAAAAACTTCATTTTTAAGAAACTGTTGTTTGTACATAGAGGCTCTTTAACCCCTATTTCTCAAACTGTAACTACAGGCAAAGCCACACAGATGGCTGGTGAGCAATGGGGTTAAGTGTCTGGTTGAGGTTTGCCTTCTGCTGCTCAGAAACCCACTGAAGCAGTTCCTGCTCTGCCCTCCCCACCTGCTGGGGCTTTGAACAGGTAGCCTGTTCTCACTGCTCCGCTGAGGTCTCTTGGGTGGGTTAAGTGGCCCAGCTTTCACTGACAGTCCTTCTACAAACCCATACTTGAGGGCACTGGCATGGTTGATCATGATGTTCTAGTCCTGAGTGGGTG